GAGGATAGTTAAGTATCCTAAGGTAGGGTGCGAAATCCATATTGGGTAATACCAAAATCTAGCGTATGAATAGTGAGAAAACTCATTGGGTTAGAGGGCTGATGGAGGTAGTTAGAACCAGATGGTTTAAATGGGTACCCCCTAGTTGGGGCACAGGTACGGCAGATAGTATAGAACCTTCAGGCGGACTACTTAAATAGGCACTCAAAAGGTGTACGTGTGGCTTAATGTACCATCGTTGTAATTACATATAAAACTTCATCTATACTCTAATAAGTTCCTCAGACCAAAGAGGTCACCTTAATACCAAAAAAAAAAAAAAAAGTAAATGAAAGTATATTCTAACTTCGAGAGTTATTTTGCTTATGATCGTTATTAAACAATTTTTTTTATTATTTTCGAAAAATATCAGTGAAATATGAAAAATATAATAAATACTTATCAAACTATACTAATTTATTATGCTTTCTCTATCATAACCGCTTATTATAACATTTGTAAATATTGGCTTTCCATAAAAACTTGAAGTTGCATAAATTATATCGGTACTTTTTAAGACTGCTGAAAAAAATATTTCCATACGATGACTTTCATTAAGAGGTACGATCGATTCCTCCTCCAAAAACTCATCGAGACCATTTAATAAGTTTTAAAAGCTATTGATTTGTAGTGGGTCCAGATTATTTTTATTTTCCTCAAGGAAATTGTCCAGATTCTCTAAACTTAGTACTCACAAAATTTTTCTAAACCTTTTCGCTCTGTGATATTTCTTTTGAGCTTCTTTTTCAGTTAATTTCTGCTATTAAACCTAATAATAACGATTATTTGCTGGTTAAAAAAATTAGATTTCAACTAAATAATATCTTGTAATATATAGTATAAGTAACAACTTAATTACTAGATAATATATATTATTTAGTAATTAAATTGTTACTTGTACTATATATTACAAGATATTATTTAGTTGAAATCTAATTTTTAACAATAGATAGCGATAATTAACAATATCTATAACTTATCATTCTTATTATTTGTTTCATATAATCTCTTTTATTTGATATACAATAAGGTATTTTTATATAAGTTTTATGAAGAGTTTTATATGTCTCTGTTGTCATACTATTTATTGACCTATATTCGTGAATTGCAGAGATAACATAATAACACCAAATGTGAAGTTTTGGTAGTTGAAGACCACTTGTATTGTATTTTGAAAAAATTTTAACAAACTCTTTGGCCTAGTCCATAATGAAAGTCTATGAATTTAATCATTAGTAATTAGGTTATTAAAAAAGATAATGATTTGTTTTATACCTGTAGCTGGTCACAAGAATCATAAGTAAATGATTCTTCACAAGTAGCAATATACATTCGAAAAAATTTGTAATAAACTTGACATAATTGTTTATTACTAATTCCTGGCCTTTTATAATCCTCATATAGGTTATCAAGAACAAAAATTATAATTTTCATTGTATTTTGCAATTCTTTAGCTATTATACATATTAGATCTATGCTCTTCATTATTTTAAGATCACGATATCTAGGTATTGCTATTAATTGTTGCTCAAAAGTTTGTAAAACGTGACCCCACATTGTTCATATAAAAGCTCTTTAGTATAATCTAACATGTACTTAAAGAGGCCGAGGTTCAAAGTGTGCATTTGATTAGGTACAACAGCTTCATATATATTGAAGTTACTATAATTTTTATTAGCTATAAATACATTTTTACTAATGTAAATTATCGAATTAATGAACATAGATGTTATTTTGAATTTTGACTCTAATTAAGCTTAATTAGGGTCAAAATTCGAAATAATACCCATGTTCGTTAATTCGATAATTGATAATAATTAAAAATAATATACTTAATTTTTACACCTTAAACTTCAAAATGAATTTGATTCAGGAAGAATTGAATAACTGAGATCATTACTGCTATTTATCGCTTGCTTCATAGTATTTGGAGTTCTTAAAATTATACTTGTTAAATTAGTATTATTTAAGTTATTTCTTGATACTAAGTATTTTGCACAAGGTTTAGCAGAAGAAGCTGGTTGGTAAACATTTATAAACTTATTGGCTTCAAGCATGTCAGCAATAATAGTTAATATTTGTAGGATGAAAGTAATAATATGTCCATATATAACAAAATGAAGCTCTGGTCCTTCAATGATAGGCTTAAGAAGAATTGACATACATTTATGAAAGACTTCTCTTTGTAATTTCCAGAAGCTATCAGAATTTTTTGCTTTAAAATCCTTGGCTTTCAAGATTAGAAGGTATCCAATTAATGCCTTGGATTCTGGTTTATTTCTCTGATAGTTTGGAATATTACCAAGTGATAAAAATATGGGATGCTCTGAAGATTTTTCCATACAATCTAGAGTTGTTATATCTGAATAAATGATAAGCAATAGTAAATGTTGCCTTGAAAGTAACGCAGACTCTTCTTGCTTCTACCAATTGCTATTGTACTGCTCTTCAAAAATTTGATATTCACTGGTTTCCCTTACTTTTCTTTTATCTTCATATTGAAGAACCAGTGACCGATTAATACTATCGATTATTAATAAAGACTTGATAGTTTTTATTAATGATTAATAGAAAAATAGATACCTAATATTTTGAAATATTACAACAGGAATTTCTTTAAACATCATATAGGGAACAACAGAATCATCAAGAAATTCTTTTTTGGCTTTAGTTGATTGTGAAAGTGGCGAAATATCCAAATTGGAGAATTTGTTAAAGAGATTTATAAAAGCATCACTAGCTGAATTTAATAGTTGATGCTTATTAACTATCACCATAAACTCTCGATAAGCATTATTAGGCCATTCAACACTTTGCGAATAATACAAGTCATAATAAGCATCATCAAATGAAGCCTCTTCATAGTCTTCAGAATCACCTTCATCAGACACAGTTTTTGGACTTTGCAACTTGCTAATAACATCAAACACTATATCTTCACAATCTTCAGAAACACTACTTTCATCTGACTTATTTTGAAGTGCTTCATCTTTCGCCAAAGAAGACATATTATCCATTTGAAAAGATTTAGTTTCCATAAAAGAATGAACATCTGAACTTAATTCAGATTGAGGTGATATTTACATATTTTTACTCTAAATGAAATATAAACGATTTATAACGATGAATAATATATTATCTTGAAATAACGCCTGGGTGTAGTTTAAAATTTTGGCCCAAATTAAGCTTAATTTGGGCCAAAATTTTAAACTATACCTGGGCATTATTTTGAGATAATACAGTAAAATAATAATAATAATTAACTATTTTTATATAATTATAATCATATACCTCATATTCTGTAGAATAATCATAATTTGAGTCAAATTCTGAAAGATTCCAAATATCTCATCTGGTTCTTCACTATTGACTATTTGGTTTGTGGAATCTTGAATATATAGATGTCTTTGCGAAATATGTTACATTAAAGCATAAGATTTTGTAAATTCTTGATTACAATATTTGCATGGCCAACGCATTTTGTTAAAAAAAAAAGAAATAAAAGAAAAAGAAAGCTAAAAGTACAAGAATAACAAAGATATTAATTATATCAATTGTAAAGTTCAAATAATAAAAATAGCGTAGAAAATGATTATATCGATATTTATCAATATATATTATTATATCAAAATTTTATTTCATTTAAATATAATGCAATTGTTTACTTAAAATATCAACATGTGTTTAATATTATGCTTGACACAATAATATGTACAAAAGACTATACATAAAATTAATTTTATTTTTAATGGTGTCACTAAAGGAAAACCAATAACTGGGTTTCAAGTTTACTAGTTACCAAACTCAATCTATCTAATTTGTTAAAGATTGAGTCCCGTAAAAGTAAACTTGAAATCCCAGTTATTGGTTTTCCTTTGGCAGCATACATATTATACGTATAATAATAATATAAAAAATTTACTAAGTAATAACGTGATAAAACTCAGATATGTGAAAATTTCAGTATATTTCATAATGACAAAACCAATTAAGTAATTTTTTTTTTTTTATTTGTCATACTTTATATTACGATTGGTATCATTAAATTCTAACTTATTATCTAATTACGAAACATATAAATATAGTAGATTTACAAATAAGATGAGTATTTTTTTTTCATTTGTCATACTTTATATTACGATTGGCATCATTAGATTCTAACTTATTATCTATTTACAAAGCTTTATCCAAACATATAAATACAATAATAGATTTCTAACATTTCAAGGTAAAATATTTTTAGATTTTTTTTTTGAAAATAAGTTTCCCAAGAAATGTTTCACCATCTACTATACCAACTTCTACCACTGCCACTTGTCCTCAATCAGGCAATACATCAAAAACTAATAACGATAATAATTGCCTTTAATCGGGCAATACATTGACAACTAATAACGATAATAATTGACTCAATCAGGCAATACAATGACTACTAACGCTAATAATAAATACCCTAAATCATACAATACATCACTTAATAATAATAAATGCCATAACTTCTCTTTTGATATTGATGATAACTCTTCCGATTCATCAAAAAGTATTTTAAGTGTCAATAGTACCTTTTTAAAAATGAAAACTTGATCACAAAAGTCTTCAAGTTAACGTAATCAATTTCGTCAATCTTCACAATCTCATTAACTTTTACAATCACATCAACCTTCACGAACAGTCCAAACTTCTCACTCTAGAAATTCATCCCTTTCTAGCAACTGTGATTTTTGTTATCACTATATGATTCTGAATTACAAGGTAGATCATGAGATTGATCACTAGATAGACAATCAACTAATCAAAATCAGCTATGAAATCAAGATGGTAATACTATATATAAGTTTTTTTTTTTTTTTTTTACTTTAAATACCATACTTTTGTATTTTTTTTTTTTTTTTCTATGAAAGTTTTTTTTTGTTTTTTCTTTTGAAAGTTGTTTTTTTTTTCTTTTCTTTAGAAAGTTTTTTTTTTTTTTTCTTAAAAAAAAACTCTTTTTTTTATTGAAGAACGTAAACACAGTAGCTGTCATCTTTTTGAAGAAAAACTTTTCACCCAAAACTACCACTTATACAACCTGAGCAAAGAGCTCTGGAATGATGTAAAGGAAGTTAAAGCCAAATTACAATGGCAAAGAAGAGAATGCAACAATGACTTTTCTCCCTGGGTTTTAGAGGTAAGTGATTTAGTTATGCTATTAAGTTGTGAAAACATATCCAAAGTTGATGTTTTAAAAATTGTAGGATATGTATACAAATTTTGTAAAGCATCTCTTCCCATAAAATATATACCCTTCTCAAAGCTAACTCAAGGAGTCTCTAAAGGACTATCTAGACAAAGCATGTCCCGAATTTATATCTGAACTAAGCTCGAATGAATTTACGAATCACTTTCATTCTGAGTAGTTTAGAGCCATATGAATAATTCTTATGAATATTATCTTTACTATAGTCTAATTTACTTTTTAATGTGCTCTTAGTTTAATATGTTTACCATCGCTTGTACTCGTTTTTTTTGTTTTTTTTTTTTTTTGTAGATTACTAATTTATAATTTATATGCTTTGTTTCATCTACTAGTTATTACAAAAAATAAAAAATTACTGTAGAGCATTGTTACAAAATGTTAGGCATTTTATTTAGAAGGTTTTCGGGTATGAAAAGCTTCCCCCTTTGAAGAGTAGTGCTGCCATGGAAGAAATTATAAGGTGGAAGAAAAGTGAAGAGGTTGCCACTTGCTTTCACACCCTCTTTGAAGAAAATGATAATGGTGTGCTCTGGATGTCCGTTATCGCAAGAACTGCATTTTTTACAACTGCAGTACTTACTCTATCTAACGAATATTGTGCGTTCATGTTAGCTATATGTATATACTGTTGAATACTCAATCGCGAAATATAATATGTACAGAAAAGCATATAAAACACTGTATGGAGAAGTATTTGGTAAGTATTTATCATAAATCATTTTATATTAACTCAAATTAATAGTTTTGCATTAGGTTTTGCATTGTAGAATGATTTTCAGGAGGGAGGCCTCTCTTACAAATTTGCTAAAGCAATAATGGATGAAGAGCTTGAGTATTCCAGTGAAAAATTGCAACCAACCTCTCCTCACTATGGATTTAAAGCCAAACCATCATAATCAAATTCAATGCAGCTTTTACAAGAAGAATTGGATGAGTTGTTTGCACTCTATTAATAGCAGCGGATTTACTTTTTTTTTCTTTTTTCTTTCTTTTTTTTTCTTTTTTCTTTCTTTTTTTTTTCTTTTTTTTTTTTTTTTTTCTTTTTTTTTCTTTTCTTTTTTTTTTCTTTAAAAATACTTTTTGCATTATGTGATGCTTAGTTATAAGTAATATTGATATTTGTAACAATATAATGTATATTAATAAAAGGAAAATTATATTTATAACACTGTGTTATATAACACCTTATATAGAATTTTTCAAAAATCATAAATATTTTAAAATTTTACTAGGGTAACCCTTGTTGTGTAACTAAGAAAAAATGCTCCTCTCGCAATTTTACATTAGACTAACTCTAAACCTAACTCTAACCCTAACCTAACCCTAACTCTAACCCTAAACTTTAGTTGCAACAACATAGTCTAAATAATAGGGTGTTATATATAACACGGTGTTATAAATATAATATTTCATAATAAAATTGCTTTAATAAATTTGATAATTTGCTTTAAAATTTATTTTATCAAATTTGACTTGTAAATGGGCAAAGTTTTTGAATATTTATACAATTATTCATATAGATATAAATCGATGATTATTGATATCGATTGTAATCGATTAGTTTATTTTAGATATATATCGATTATATTTGCTATCAATAATTATCGTTTGATTATTAACTAGATATATATCGATAATTATCACAATTAATAGAACCCAGCAAGGGTGATTATAATCGATATATATTCACCCGGTTAGTAATCAATATTTATCTCTATATAAATTTTGCTGATGAAGTACGATATTCTGAAGTCAATATTCAATAGAGAGGATGATAACAGTGTTAATAATATATCGAGCTTGGGTATTAGTAATTTGTTTTGTATTGGTGATTTGAATGAGATGTGAAGATTGTGATAGTGTGAGCTGAGATTGTTTAGATTGTTTGTTATTTAGGGTGAACCAGCAGCTAAGAAATTTAAATGGCTGGTGTGGTAGATAGACAAGTAAAGCTTGATTGTTTAAAGTAATTAAGATAGAGTTGGAGGATTTGGAGTTGGTTGAGAGGATAGATTTAGATATATTAACTTGGATATTTGCTATTGAGTAGAAAGATTCTACAATAAATATGATGTTGGATAATTCTTCTTGGGATAAAGCGATTCAAAGAGTGTCATCTATGTAAGCTAGAACAGAGCAGTTAATATTGGTATGATTAGTAGTAAGGTGTTTAAGATTGGTAAACCAGGAGACCTTGAATGTGTATCTAGGGAAAGATGAGTGTATATAGGATATAAGAGAGTTGTAGTAGATGCGCCAGAGAAGGGGGTGATAGTTTCACCTTGGTCTATATTATTAAGAACCTGGTATAACGACGTTAAACCAAAATTAGTAATGACCTCATTTTGGTGGTCTGTTAAGAGATTAGTGAGGATATTAATAATAGTAGGGGGGAGAGCAAGTCGAGAGAGTGAGTGCTGGAATAGTGTAAAGTTAACAGAATCATAGGCCTTACTCATATCCTGAGAAAGAACCCATATATCTTAGTAGTTGCAATTTGTATCTTCAATTAAGTTGTTAAGGATGTGAATTGGGGTTGATATACTGTTGCCTAGTAGGGCAACATAGTTATAAAGAGAAAGTATAGGATATTGTATAAAGACTTTACTAAGTCTATTTGTAATAATTTTGGTATAAATTTTGTGAGTATGTTCAATAAGGCTAATTGGATATGTGAGGCTAAGGTTGCTATCAAAGGCATTATTTTTGAGAATAAAGAAGATTCTTCCCTGTTTCTATTGTTTAGGTATAGTTATAAGTTAAACAGGGTTGAAGAAAGCAGTAAGTGCAAGAATATAGGAG